ACTCAGTGGAAAAAATCCATCAATACAGTATAGTAGGAGCAGATATAACTAATATATTCCACATTGAAGAAATTGAGAAAGCAGCTAGATATTTTTTACAAGTGTGTGCTAGAGCCAGATAGGATAGATTCATGAGGGCCAATTGTTAAATTTTCAGTGTGAACATTTACACCTTGGAAACTGAAAAATGCTACAAATCAGGACTTGACTTATTATTTTGTTAATCATTTAGACTCAAGACAGTGATGGAGAAAATACTGATTATGCAGATTAAACTTAAAAGTTTGTGGAGCATACTTTTTTTTTTGGAGGGGCGGTTGTTAAACATCAGCATGCCCCTTGATTAGTCAGTGATGACTTCCAAAAAAAACTCAAACTGTGCTTCTCAGAATAAAAATTACCTGTTTCCTTCCTCCTTCTGACTCCTCAGATTACCACATGAAACCAGGAGAAATTTTGTCCAATAATAACTCTATTCTGGGGGCAGCTAGGTGGCACAATGGATAGAGTACTGGCCCTGGAGTCAACATCTAGCCTTTGACACTTACTTGTTGTATGACCCTGGGCAAGTCACTTAATCAATTTCCTCATCTATAAAATGAGCTGGAGAAGGAAATGGCAAACCACCCCAGTATCTCTGCCAAGAAAGCCCCCTAAAAGGGGTCACAAAGAGTTGGACATGACCAAAATGTCTAAAACAACAACAGTGAAACTGCCCATCTGTTGCTTCTCATGCTTACAAATACCTGGCTTTTAAGAAATATTAATTTGATGTGAAGGATAGCTTCATATTTATTATTATCCTTAGTACAGGAAAAATAACATCAAGGACAACATTATTTTCTGTGTATGTGAATGTGGCAGAAAAGACTGCTTTGTGAACACTAAGCATGCACGTACATGTGGGTGCACACATCTACCTCTCCCAGTATACACACAGTGAAATGATGCTGACAAGAGAAGGGACTGTCATAATAAGAAATTACCTCTGCTGGATTAAAAGACTGATTAAAAGAATCACAAGATTTAGAAATCTTCCTCCATTTTACAGATAGGGAAACTGAAGCAAAAGTTACCTCAAGGTTAACAGTTTCCTGTCATTTCATAAGTCTTCTAACATCAACTCAGAGTATAAATGACAATAATACTGACAAATACTTACAATTGATACCAACAAATTGTAATTTGTACATGTGTTGTAAGTATGTATGCACTATTCAATTCAATTCAATTTTAAAAGCATTTATTTCTATTCCTACCATTACACAGGCTTGAGAACCTCTCTAAAAATGAACAGTATCCAAAATCATTTGAAGATAAAATTGTATTTACGGTATCAAAGAAGTACTATAAGTTATTTTAATTTCTGTTTTGATTGAAACTTGAAATAATTGAAGAATGCATAAATGTGAATGAGAAGCAAATTAGAAATGTTAGCAGATAAACATATTTTTAAAAGTGTTCAAAATCTTTTTCTAGCGATTAGTTTTATGAGGAAAGAATATGACAAAAGGTAAGATACAGGAACTGAAAAACACTGAGTTTTGTAGGAAGATTTACAAGATGGATACTTCAAAAAATTATTTCAATATTTAACAGACATTTACATGGTAAAAGAGGGAGGTTCACTCATACTTGTGGGGAGCAAGAATCAAGACATATTTCATGTAGAAAATAGTTCTTGAGCTCAGTCTTGAAGAAAGTGAGGGACTTTATGAGACAGAGGTAAGGAGGAGTGCATTTCAGACATAGGGGATGCACCTTGCAAAAGAATGGTGATGGAAAATGAAATACCAAGCATGGGGCATAGGCAGAAGGACACGACACTTTGGCTGGACCAATTCTTAAGGGAGAAAAAATCTTATTATTTGATCACATCAGTATTTATCCCCTTTAATGTGGTATGCACATATTTAAAAGCCAACTAATCCTACAATACATGCAACATACTGCTTATTTCAAATGTTCTTGGAAGGTTTAGTTATAGTTTGTTTTAAAGTGTAGTTTCTTGGGAAAATAGTGAAATTTCATGTGGGAAAGCTTCCAAAAGCAGAAAGTTTCAGCCACTAATCATGACCAAACCTAACAAAATTAAATGCTAAGGCACACCACACTTCAAACTCAAGACAATGTTGATTTATTTTTACCCTAGTCAAATGAGTATCAGTAGAAAGAACTATTAGGCTATAAATAGTATGAAACAAAGTAAATGTTTTCCCACCAAAGATGGAGAAGACATAATAGGATCTTATTTGTAATATCAACATCTGAATGAAAGGCAGTTCTGGCTGGTATCTGGAGCAAAAAGTAGTCTGGCACAAATAATATAACATGTTTACAAGTGAAGGAACCAAAGCTCAGAAAAGATAAGTGACTTGTCCAAAGCAACATGACCTAGGAAGTGGCAGAACCTAGATTCAAATTTCAGGTCTTCAGGGTTCCTAGGTCATATTGCCTTGGACAAGTCACTTATCTTTTCTGAGCTTTAGTTCCATCACTTGTAAACATGTTATAATAGTTGTGCCAGGCTAATTCAAGGAATCACTCAAATCAATAAACACTTATTAAGCACCTACTATGTGCTGGACATACAAAAAAAGGCAAAAGACAGTCCCTGTCTTCACAGACCTTACAATCTAATAGAGGACACAACATGCAAACAAATATGTACAAAGCAAACTTTCTACAGAATGAAAAGGAGATAATTAATAGAGGAAGGCACTGGAATTAAGGCTTCCTGTAGAAGGTGGGGTTTTAGTTGGGATTTAAAGGAAGCCAAGGAGGTCAGCAGTTAGAACAGAGGAGGGGAGAATGTTCTAGGAATAGCGGACAGCTAGAGATCATGTGAGGAATGTCCTCTGTAAACTATTCAGTGATGTAGAAATGTGAACTGCTACTTACTAACACCTTTGTTTTTTTCTTCTGTAGCACCACACACCAATTATATAGTCATGGTGCATGTGCAGGCCAGGCTGAGAGGGCTTTTCATTCTCACTCACTTTCCTGGCTTGTTTATACCAACAAATCTTTTGTCATTTAGGTTGCCGACTTAGTTATGGAGGTCTGTACCAGCATATTTCAAAATGTGCAGGCAAATAAGGTAAGTTCTATTGTCATTCTTGTACTCAACAACTCTATGTTGTTGTTTTTTTCTCCTCTAATGAAATTACCAGCTAACGTCTTCCTCATCTTTCTTAGGCTAACCAAGAAGTATACAAAAGGGTAAGAAACTTCTAATATTAATATACGCATATGTCTTCTTCTCTTAGTATTAGTGAAGCTTAATACCAAACTTTTTAAATTCAGTTTTTATTTCACTACTCCAGAGCTCAGGAGGCAACATTCTCAGTTAAACCTGGGGTCAGTATTTTGAGAATCATCTTTTTGTTCATTTAATTTCTAAATTTTATCTGCTCCCTTAATTCATATTCAATATTTATCCACTCAGACTCTGCCTTTTTGTCAGAAAAATATTATCAGCTATAGAGTATTTGAAAAAAAAATTTGGGGTGAGAACTATTAAAGGTATACAGAATGAAATAAGAGCTGTGGGCATATTAGAATAGTATCACAGAATTTCATACTTAAAACTGGAAGATATCTTAGGGTTCATCCGATCCAGTCCCTTCGTTTAACTTTATTGAGGACCTGAAGAATGGGAAGGGATGTCTCTTCTCTCCATCTCCAAGTTATATTCCCCACACATATTCATAGGTTAATTTCAAGCAGGCCCCTTCCACAGAACAAAGCAGACTGTAAGCTATAACTCCGTACGTAGAAAAATTATAAAAGATACTCCCCTCTCAAGGCAGTTTGTCTGAAATCTGTTCTTTCCATAAACACAAGATAACTTGATCAAGAATACATGATTTCCCTACAATTAAGTCTGATAAAGTCTATGAACTTTTACGCAGATGTCTTCGGCCCCCTCAACATTTTTAGGTCCTACACATGTAGTTCAAACCTCTAAGGTGTTCTGTGGTAAAATTAGTTTGGGCAACATGACTGTGGGGCAGCTAGGTGGCACGGTGGATAGAGATAGAGTACTGGACCTGGGGTCAGGAAGACTCATCTTGCTGAGTTCAAACCTGGCCTCAAACACTTACTAGTTGTGTGACCCAGGGCAAGTCACTTCACCCCGTTTGCCTCAGTTTCTTCATCTGTAAAAAGAGCCGGAGAAGGCAATGATAAACCACTCTAATATCTTTGCCAAAAAAACCCAAACCCAAATGGGGTCATGAAGAGTTGGACACAATTGAACAATAACAAAAATATGACTGTAGAGTGATGGTACTCAGGACCACAGAATTTAGAGCAGAAAGGGGCCATAGAGATCGTTGAGTTCAATGTTCTCATTTTATAGCTGAGGATACTGGGGCCCAGAGAAGTTTCAAGCTTATTCAAAGTGACTTAGTTGTTGTTATAGCTTATATTTTTTGAAATAAGTTTTTATTAGATACATTTTATTTTTTCCATCTTTATAGTTTTCAGTATCCCTTCTCCTACCCCTCCCAGAGAACCACTTCATATAACAAACCTATATAACAGCATTTTTAAGACAAAGAAAGAAGAAAATGGAAAAATCAGCATAACTCGTCAATGCATTAAAACAGTTTGAAAATATGTGCAATGTACCAAACTTGGTAACGTCCCATCTCTTCAAAGGGTCAGGGTGAGAGTGTTTTCTCATAGCTCCTATTTCTGGCCATGCTTGCTCTGTATAATTTTGCAACATTCACTTCTGATGTTGTCATTTTGCATATTTTTCTTGGCTCTGCTTTCTTTACTTTGAATCATTTACTGTAGAATTTTCCATGTTTTTGTGTATTCATCACATTCTTACAACGCAGTAACGTTCCATTGTATTTATGCACCAAAATTTGTCTAGTCATTTCCCAGTGGATAGGCATTTACTTTGTTTCCAATTCTTTGCTATCACAAAAAGTGTTGCTGTAACTATTTTAGTATACATAGAGCCTTTCTTCTTATCAATGACCTTCTTTGGATATAAGCCTAGCAATGGAATCTCTGGATCTAAAGGTAAGAAAAAAATCTCTGAATCAAAAGGTAATAGCAAAACAAAATAAAACAAAAAGAAACCCTTATTGCATAATTCCACATTTCTTTCCAAATGGCTGAACTTATTTATAGCTCTATCAAAAATGCATTGTGTGTACCTATCTTACAACATTGACCATTGCCATCATTTGTGGCAGAGGCAGCTAGGTGACACAGTAGATAGAGTGCTAGGTCCAGAGTCAGGAAGACCTCAGTTCAGATCCAGTCTCAGACACTTAATAGTTGTGTGATCCTAGCAAGTCACTTAACCCTCTTTGCCTCAGTTTCCTCATCTGTAAAATGAGCTGGAGAAGGAAATGACAAACCACTCTACTATCTTTGTCAAGAAAACCCCAAATGGGATCACAAAGAGTTGTGACTGGAATTGCATAAACAATGTCAATCTTTTGTGGCAGTTTGGAGGGTGTGAGGTGAAAGCTCAGGCTTGTTTTGATTTGTATTTCTCATATTATTAGTGATTTGGAGTTGTCTTTGATTTGGTTGTTATTGGTTTGTAATTCTTTTGAGAACTGTTTGTACACATCTTTTGACCATGTAGCTATTGGGGAACAGCGGATCTGATTATATTCTAATCCAAATATTCTGACTTTAAATCTAGTGTTCTTTCCACTGCAGCACACTCCTTATTCAAAAAGGGTCAGACTCAGCCACAGGCAGACCAGGCAAATGGTCTACATCGTTTGATTTCAGAAGCAAACAGGGGGAAACTTCTTTCCCTCTCTTTAATCACCCATTCCCATGCTCTCTGAAGCCTAAATGCCTTTAGCAGGGTATAAAGTAATTCTTACTGCAATTAAAAATTAACTTGAAAATGCAAGGTCCTCTGTTAGAAATTACATATGTCTTTAGATTCATTTACATTAAAGTATAAATGATCAAAAACTGATTCTTTCTTAAGATCAAAGGGAGGAGAGAACACAACGGTGCTATAGTCAAATGAGAAAGCTTGAGGAGGATGTGGAAATGGGAAACCAGAAACGCCACAGGACAATTTTACAAACTTCACAGTTATTTCTCCTAACACCAATGTGGCAAAAGCCATGTCAGGGCCTGGGTTTGAATCTTAGCTCTGGTACTTCTGGACAAATTATTCAACTTCCCTGGACTTCAATTTCCTTATCTTTAATATAAGAGAGTTGGACTAGATAAATAACAAATTCCCTTCAAGCTCTAAATTCTATCAGCTATAAAACTCTCTCTCTCTCTCTCTCTCTCTCTCTCTCTCTCTCTCTCTCTCTCTCTCTCTCTCTCTCTCTCTCTCTCTCTCTCTCTCTCTCTCTCTCTCTCTCTCTCTCTCTCCCTGTCTCTCTCTCTCTCTGTCTGTCTGTCTCTCTCTTTCTCTCTGCCTATTTATCTGTCTGTCTCTCTCTTTCTCTCTCATGTGTGCACATGCGTGTGTGTGTGTGTGTGTGTGTGTGTGTGTGTGTGTGTGTGTGGGCAGCTAGGTGGCACAGTGGATAGAGTGCTGGGCCTGGAGGCAATAAGACCTGAGTTCAAATCTGGCCTCAGACACTTACTAGCTACACACACACACACACACACACACACACACACACACACACACACACACAAATTTGTAGTTGTTGTTGATCCTTTGTTCTTGAAGAGGACCAATGACATCACAAGGGTGATGACTTGCTTGTGAATTGGATTTAAGTGAGGCAGAACTGTGCAAAGTGACCCTGGGCAAGTCATTTAATATTCTTTGCCTCAGTTCCCTCATCTGTAAAATGACCTGGAGAAGGAAATGGCAAATCACTCCAGTATCTTTGCTAAGAAAACACCACGTGGGGTCATGAAGAGTCAGACATGACTGGAATGACTAGACAATAAAGACAGAAAAGACCTGGGTTCAAGGTTCTGATAGCTACTTTTTAAATCTATGTGACCCTAGCCAAGTCATCTAAAACACTGAACCTTAGTTTCCTCACCTTTAAAATGAAGAAATTGTATTAGATGATCTTTATCAGAGATACCTTTGAGCACTAAATCTAAATCCTCTGATCTTGGCCTCTCCTCTATATCCTACAATCCCCCCCCCTTTCCACCCTGTCCTTGTACCTGCATTTCAACTATTAGAAAGTCATGTCTTTGAGCTTTGAAGACTTTCTGTCTTCAAAGACCCCCAGCCAAAATTGGATGTCCTAATACAGAGTTAACACTTTGGGTTTCAGCTATAAACCTTGGCTTTCCCAAAGAAAGATAGCTAAGAGAGTAAGATCCTTCAGGAACAAGATAGAGGGAATTGGCAGTCACTCAAGGTAAAAGGGAGGGAAGAGAAAGGCCATGGATGGGGCAAGTGAGAGGAATGCCAAAGATGACTCTATTTCTCAATTCTACCAAAGGGCTACCCTGCTATAAATTAAAATATGGAGTTCAGAAATTTGCACAGGATGTAAATTTTAAAATGCAAGTTTTCTTTTAAAGAAAGCTGAAAGGATATCATTAGCCACCAGGGTCCTTCTACTTGTCACTTAAATAAGCATAGTAGGGAAAAGGGAAAGTATTTCTGAGGATGAGAAGTGTCCTCTACAACCCCACCTCTTCTTCCTCCCACCTAAACTAAGTGAATGGGATATTTGGGCATCTGGGATAAATTTGATTTACTAGGGATGGTGTGTGTTTGAAGGTTGCATTCATTATTTAGTGCAGCAATTTGAAGGAACTGAAACTTCTTGCTGTCTTTGCAAGTGGTGCTGTTATTGGCTAGTGGCAGGGGGGAGAAAGGTAGAGTTCAGGCTCAGCAATAGATTTTTCTCTGAAAATTAAAACAATTTGTATTGTGAAACATGCTAGAGGGAATGTGGATAATGCTGGATCCAAAAAGGTAATTCTTTTGTGTAGATGTTTGGGTTTTATATCTGATCATTTGAAGGCAAACAAAATTCCTGATTTCTCTTTGTTGGAGCTTTAACTGGTGCATCCTTTGATGCATTGTGCTTCCAGACTCTTAGAGAGAAAAATGAAAAGATTTCTCAATTGAGTATGAGCTTATTTATTTTACTATATCTTTATGGCACTGAAAGTAATGCCTTCCATTGTTTGGGGCTTAAATTTCAGACCTTTACAAGGAGAAATTCAACTTCTCTTGTATGTTGGGAACATTTGCTGTCTTCTCTTAGTTTTCCTTCTTTTTATTTTTTAATTGTCCTATCTTCCTTCAGTGCTCTTATCACAATAATGCTATCATTCACATAGCATTTTAAGGTTTGCAAAGCACTTTACCGATATTATCTTCATAACAACCCTGCAGGGTAGGGTAGGGGCTGTTATCATTTCCATTTGATAGATGAGGAAACTGAGGCAGCCAGAGGTTAAATAATTTGCCCATGGTCTCAGAGGTAGTAAGTATCTGAGGCTGGATTTGAACTCAGGTCTTCTGAATCTAGGACCCATGCTCTATTTACTGTACTATTTAGTTGCTTTTAAATGTAAATATTTTACATTTTTCTTTCTTTTCTTATGTATTTGCCTCCCATATATTCTCTCTCCTTTGCATGGGGAACCCTTAGATCCTCACTAGGGCATCTTTGAAACTTTCTCTTGAATCCTGCTATGTCCTCTGGCAAATACTTGTCTTTGTTGGCTGTCCCTGACTGAACCAGGCTGCTGCTTTCAGGGCTCAGTTCAACAGGGCAGAGGATAAGCTGGCGGGGAGGTGTAATGGATAGAGAGCAGGGCTTGGAGCCCAAAAGACTTAGGTTTAAATTCTGCTCTGACACATATTGACGGGGTGACCCTGGGCAAGCCAATTAACTTCTTAGGACCCCTCCACTGCCCCCACCCCCCACCCCAAGCAACTCTGTAAGACAGTAAGTTGAAGAGGAGGTACTGACTTGCATTGGTGAAGGAGAACTCTCTAAACAGGGGAAATCACAGGTCCAATCTGTATCCCTGGTAATTTGGAACAATTACCGGGCAACTTAAAAGTTGAATTATTAATGGGGTAAGGGCTTAAAACAAATGTTTCAAGTCTAATCAAGAAAGCACTGCGGCTTGTGTCGGTATGGAGGCAAACTCTGTACTTCTTTCAACATCATGAATGTGTGACTGAAAGCAAAGTCATATAAAGTTTAGTTACTTCATTTGTTTAAAAATCATATTGTGCCTCAGAACCCAATTCCCTTGAACTATGTCTGATTGTGCATATAGAATTTGTCCTCAGTAAAATCTCTAGCTAACTGGAATAGTCAGGGAACTCTTACAGAGAGTATGTGGTACAGTGGAAAGAGTGTTAAATGTAAATTGAGGATGTGGGTTCAAAACTCCGTACTGTAACTTATGATCTGTGTGACCCTGGACAAGTCACTTTCTTTCATTGGACTTGAGTTTCTTTGTGTCTAAAATGATGAGGATGGAATAAATGACCTCTAAGGTTTCTCCCAGTTCTAAATTTATGATCGTATGACACCATGCTTCATTGGAAAGTTGTGTCTGTTGAAGCAATCTGTATTATTATCAACTTCAAACAAGCATAGCAGCTAGGTGGCACAGTGACGACAGTGCAGAGCCCGGAATCAGGAGAACTCATCTTTCTGAGCTCAAATCTGGCCTCAGAAACTTACTAGCTGTGTGACCCTGGACAAGTCACTTAACCCCAGTTTCCTCCTCTGTAAAATGAGCTGGAGAAGGAAATGGCAAACCACTCTAGAATCTTTGCCAAGAAAACCCCACAAGGGTTCATAGAGAATTGGACTCGACTGAACCAACTAAATCACAACGAAAGCAAACATAGGCCTCTGTGGCTGAGTTTGCAAAGAAGGTAGGTAAGCAATATTCATTGTAATTCAACAAAACAGTATTAAACTGCACCAAGTGCTGTGGATACAGAGAAAAAATTAGATGATCCTTGCCTCTCAAGGTTCCAGTTATCAAGATGTTACTTGGAACTTAATTCATTTTATTGGAACACTCACTGTCAGAACATCTCTTTTAATTCCTAGAGAAGTCATGAATTTATGGGAAATGCCTAATTAGATTCTAGCATGGATGATTACTTTTAACATATATTCATTGTATAAGAGCAAGGCATTGGTTTAAGCTGGCCTCTGGAATGTGAGTGACCCTGGGCAAATCATTTAACATGGGGCAGGTAGGTGACATAGTAGATAGAATACCGGGGCATGGATGCAGGAGGATTTGTCTTCCTGAGTTCAAATCCAGCCTCAAACACTTACTAGCTGTGTGACACTGAGCAAGTTACTTCACCCTGCTAGCCTCAGTTTCTTCATCTGTAAAATGAGCTGGAGAAGGAAATGGCAAACCACACCAGTATCTTTGCCAAGAAAACCTCAAATGCAGTCATGAAGAGTAAGATATGACTGAAAACAACTGAATAACAACTCTAGGCAGGTAAATTTATAAATTGCAAAGAATGTGTTAACTTGCATGGGTAAAAGGATTTTCCTCATCTGAGAGGTCCCCATGGCAATGAAATCTCCTTATTTCCTATTATCCATATTCATTGTACAAAATTTACCAACAAAAGGAAAAGTATTAAGAGAAAGGGAGTGTTTGTTGCTAGCCACCTTCAAGCTGGCTTCAGACTGCTTCTGGGAAGAAAGCAATTGATCTGCACTGATGTGGTCTTGAAAGTATTTCCTAAAGCTTGAGCCTGAGTGCATTTAATTACAATTTCCTTGTGCATGGGGATCATTCATTGGACTATTAATATTTAATTACAAGTCCAGATAATGAGGCATTGGGGGCCATCAGACTTTAGCAATTTGCTTCAATCAGGAAAGAGCCCAAGTCATCAGCATACAGATGTGAAGAGTTATTGGAAATAGCCCCAGGTCCTATCTGAAGTTTTGAAGGATTATATTTCAACCAATCTACATAATGTTTATGTTTTCATTTTGCAGGGTAATGCTGGTACCATGGGATGGCCTTTTTTCCTTTTCAGGGTATAGTGTGTTTCCTCTTCTCTGTCTTCAAATCCTAAAACAACCCTGCCATGCCATTGATGGAACTACTCCAGAGGCAGAATGGAGCTAATATAGATATTGATTGGCATGCTATTAATGAGAGCTAACTCTGGGAATCATTTACCCATTTACCTAAGAGATTATTTTGGACCAATGTCTTCTACTAATTTAAGATTTGAAAAATAAAATGTCCCACAAAGGAGAACAATGGGATTTAGAACATATAGAATGCTAAGCATTGAACTTTTTTAACCTAAAATCATTTAGTGAATCTTCAGGTTTCTGCTCTTTCTTGGGTCTTTTCCAACTTGGATTAAAAATAGACTAGAAGGAAAACTTTCCTCATGAGTAGAATCATAGTGAACTAGAGTTTAAACTCATGTTCTTCCTCATGTGCTTGGCATTAGGGGAGATACAGAGATTAGAAACAACACAATCCTTATCCTCATGCATCTTATAAAGCTTCTTATAATAGGGAGAACGCTAGGGATTCACAGGAACCAAGCAGTAAGACAGGGACCATCATGCAAACCAATGGCCCATGGTAGGGTTGCTGACCCTCACGATAGAAAAATTATGATCCAATGGGAGATCAGACTTTTAAACATACATAGAGCATTAATGTATTTCTATTGTTGTGCATACAACATTTTTATATTGGCATGTTATTGTTTCTTTTCCAGCCTAGAAATGGAAGGAATATTGAAAATAATGGCCATTACAACATTCGAAAGGTGATTGGACTATCTCATTGTTATTAACATGTAAAGAAAATGTTATAAAGAGTTGAACTGTCCTTTGCTTTTAGGGAAATAAGACAAAGGTAAAAAGTGTCATGATCTTCTACAATTCAATTTAATCTAATTAATTTCAATAATTGATCAGGTGCTTACTACATATAAGACACTGTGTTAGGTCCTGGGAATAGAAAGATGAAGTGAAATACTGTTCTTGACCTAAAGAAACTATAATTGCATTGGAGAAATATGACAGTTATACAAATAGCTAGGGGGCATGACAGAATGTGATCCACATGAAAGAGAGATTTCTATAGGCTTCCCTTGAGGGAGATGTCACTTTTTGACTGTGGGTGGGAGAGCACCTTAGGAAAGGCTTCATTGGAGATGTAGTACTTGAGATGGACCATAAAGGAAAGGAATGATCTTCAGACATGTAGATTATCTCCCCAAAAAGTCATAGAGATGAGAGAAAATAGGATAAGAATAGGAAGCAATAAGGAAATGGTCCAGTTGGGAAGGAATAGAGAATGTATGATGGGGGGCAGCTATGTGGTGCTGAGGATAGAGCACCGGCCCTAGATTCTATAGTACTTGAGGTCAAAGTGGCCTCAGACACATAACACTTACTAGCTGTATAACCCTGGGGAAGTCACTTAACCCCATTGCCTAACCAAAAAAAAAAAGAGAGAGAGAGAGAGAATATATGATGGGGAATAATAGGAAATGAAGCTGGAAAGGTATGTCAAAGACAGATTGTGAAGGGCTTTGAATGGCAGGACCACAAATTTATCCCTTTTTTAGAAAAGGAAGGGGATCAGAATGGGAGCATTAAAAAGATATGGTGAAAGGAGAAAGGATGGTTTTAAAGGGGGAAAGGCAAGAGGCAGGAAGATCAATGTACTTGGAGGGAGGTTATTAAAATGGTTTAGGCAAGAGACAATGTTCCCACACAGACAATCATGCAATTATTTCTTTCTGGGAAAGGGCCCTCGGTTCCCCCTAATCAGATTGAAGGTATGGCCCACGAAGGTTGATGACATTATGCTGTGCTCAAAAAAGCAGAAATGATGGAGCATATTTTAGACACTCAGTATTAAGAAAGGGAAGTGCTACAGTAAAGTGAAGAGGCCTGGATTTAGGGGTAAAGAACATGGGTTCAAATCCTAGCTCTTTTCTCACTGGCCTGGATAGGTTGGGAAAGTCACTTAATCTCTCCAAGCCTCAGTTCTTTCATCTGAAAAAATCAGATGAATGAACTACGTTTCCTTCTAGTCCTTCATCCTAACTGAAAAATCTGTTAAAATATATTTGAGGTAGAAGGGAGAAGGGACTAGGAACTAAGAATTACTACAAGGAAAATAAACCTGTTCCTTTGAATAAGGGAACAAGGCAACTAGGTGACACAGTCAGGAAGAACTGTGTTCAAATCTGGCTTCTGACACTTATTAGCCGTATGACCCTGGACAAGTCACTTAATCTGTCTACCTAAGTTTCCACATCTCTAAAATGGGGATAATTAACACCTACCTTCCAGAGTTGTTGTGAGGACTTTGCAGACCATAATGCACCATAGGAATGCTAGTTGTTCTCTTCCTCCTCCATCTTTTTCATCACCTTTATCTTCTTTTTTTTCTCCTTTCTTCTCATCTATCATCTTCTTCTTCATCATTATCTCCTTCATCATCTTCTTCTTTTTCTTTCTTCTCCTTCCCCATCACCGTCTTCTTTATCATCATCTTCCTCATCATTGTTGTCGTCTGTCCTCTCCTCCTTTTTTCTCCTTCTCCATTGTCATCTTCATCACCATTATCTTCTTTCTTCTCCTTCTCCTCCTCCTCCTTTGTCATCATCATCATCTTCCTCCTCCTCCTTCTTCCTTTTCCTTCTCCTTCTTCAATATGATGCCAGATAGGTTGAACCAGAAAGAGATGGGATGCAGGGGGAATATCCCATTAGTTGGTGGAGAAACTCTGGATATTTACATCACATCACATTTTAAATTCTGTTCACATGATCGTGTAATATTGCCTCCTTTCTTGAGCTGACTCATTCCTGAGAGAGTCGTGACCCAGATTCCATGTTTTTCTCTTTTCAGAATTTCATGGCAAGCAAAAGCATGAGCTGACAGACCAACTTAATGACTGGGTAGAGCCACTGTTGAACTACTTTATATGAGTCTTGCTAAGGACCTTTAACTTCCAGTGAGACAGCTAAGCTGTCTGAATCCTTGGCGTGATATAATAAAATAAAATTGTAATGACTAAAGTTCTGAGTTATTTTTTTCTTCTCCAATTTATTAAAGAAGGAGACAAGACCACTGTGATGACAAGAGGGATAGGAGTTATATAGCAAGGAGGGCTGATGCTTAATAACTAGGAAGTTGAAGAAGAGCAGGAAAGGGGAGGAAGACAAGTAATGCCAGCCTGAAGTGAGGGAGGGCAGTCACCCTATACAGGGACAAATTGTGGAGAGCAGTTATTCGGAATATATGGAATTGTTAAGTGGGCTCATGCCTTTCTCTTGGCTCTATTGGACTGTGCCCTCATATTTGCATGGAAGGATGGCTTTTTCTATTAAGCAAAATAGAACTGCCTTTTGTTATTCTGGCATGCAAACATAAAAAATAAGAAGCTCCGAAGGCCTGTGGGCTGTATGTAAGCCATTGATGTTAAGTTCACTGGTACAGTGTTACTGGATATGAGCTGTGAAATTGCAACCCCAGAAGCTAATCCAAAGACAAGTAGCCAGAGACCAAAGTTTCTGCTTTAGCTTTGCAATGACCTGGTTTATGACCAAAGAGGAGACATCCCTGGGTCTTAATTACCTAATCTATCAACTGAAGAGAACTACAGGATTGCTAAGGCCTCTTCTATCCCTGAAACAGTATGATGCTCTGTTTTCTCCTCTGGAAAATGAAGATATCATGTCTTAACTATTTCACACTATTGTCATAAAGGTGACAGGAGACGCCAAAGCCCTTTTGAGAAGTATAATGAAATACATAAAGGCAAAATATCTAACACTTATGGAAGTCTTATATTAAAAGACAGTAACTTCATTTGATGAACAAAAATAGATGTGTACTTTCCTTTGCCAATGTCTCAAGTTTCTCCACTGAAATCTTCCCCTTTTAATGCTGGCTTATAAATATTGTTGGGTAAGGCAGCTAAGTGGTATGGTAGATAGAGTGCTTGTAGTCAAGAAGACTCATCTTCATAAATTCAAATCTGGCTTCAGACACTTACTAGCTGTGTGACCCTGGGCAAGTCACTTCACCCTGTTTGCTTCAGTTTCCTCATCCATAAAATGAGCTGGAGAAGGAAATGGCAAACCAGTCCACTATCTTTGCCCAGAAAACTCAAATGGGTTCATGAAGAGTCAGACACAACTCAATAACAATAATATTTTTGGATAGGGATAGGTTCCAGACCTGTGATTTTATTGATAAAGGGAACTCCCAGGTACTAGTTAAGGTTGGTACCTTTTCAACAATTTATAGAGAGCTGGCTAGAGAAGAGGTATCAAACTCACCTGCCTCTGAAAAACTCCTGTGGCCAGAATCAGATTAAAATGTAAATGGGAAATGTTTATCAAAATAATGGGAAATACAATGCGACATAGGGAAGGTTAATTTGTGCTTTTCTTTCTTTCTTTCTTTCTTTCTTTCTTTCTTTCTTTCTTTCTTTCTTTCTTTCTTTCTTTCTTTCTAACCAGGATTAAGTGACTTGCCCAAGGTCACACAGCTAGTGTCTGAGGCTAGATTTGAACTCTGGTCCTCCTGAGTTTCTATGTGAGTTTGACACTATTGGACTGAAGTACTGAGAAGTTAAGGGAGCGAGTATGTGTCAACAGTGAGACAGTAACAACAATAATTATAATAATGATGACGATAGCTAGTATTTATATAGTGCTTTATAGTTTTCAAAACACTTGAGATATCTTATCTGATTTAGTCTTCATGACAACCCTTTGAGGTAGATGCTATTATCATTCCCATTTTATACATGAAGAAACTGAGGCTGAGAGGGGTTAGGTGCCCAATATCATGTTTCCAGTGAGTGTCTGAGGCACAATTTGAGTTCAGGTGTCCCGACTTTAGGTCTAGCTATCTATCCATCGTACTACCTATCTGCCCAAGATGGGACATGATCCCATGTCCTCTTGGCATGGGGACCAGCTTTCTAACTACTATGCTATATTGCCTTTCCACTTAGCTATATTACATGGATAATCACGAGAGATAGAATGTTGTAATTGACAGAAAGTTGACCTTCAACAGGAATACTTGGGTTCAAGTCTTGTTGTTGACAGGACACATAATGCCTGTGGAACCCTAGCTAGGCATGTCATTTAATGCTTCAATGCCCCATGTAAGCCTCTTTATGCTGCAGACCAGGTGCCAATCTTATTTGATACAGGAAATTTTCTCACTAGAGATGTTCTTTATGCTTATGAAATCACAGGTTTGGTAAAAAAAAAATTAATGTGCCTTCTTGACAAAAAAATTTCATTTCTGTCCTTTCAAGCCTGGTGCTCTGAATCAGCACATTCCATGCATGAATCACTCTTTGCAACATCTTGATGAGGTTGGCAGACCTCGTTTTCTACTGTAATTTTGCTGTTGGACAATCTAAGTCAAAGAAAGGGCCTTGTTCTTTAACAGGTTCCTAATATCAGTGCTTCAGGCTTTTGAACTGGTCCCACGGATGTTTGCAAATGAGTTAGCATCATGTCAAGTCAAGTCAAAGGAAGGCAAAAAACCAAACCAAACCAAAACAGTCCCTGCTGTCAAGGAGCCAGTGTGGCACAGTGGATAGAGCTCTGGGCTGGTAGATTCCTATTTTAACTAATTATTCTTGCTGATTTAGTACTAGTTAAGCTGGTATGGCAAATTCAGGGACTAGGATGGGGGTGGGGGTGGGGGCCTAATTATCATCACTCACCTGTCTCTTTCCACAACAATCACCCACCCTGTGTGCATAAGGGTATAACCCTGGCCCTGCCCCTCCTTCTCCCTGCTGATGAGGTAAGGCCTGGCCCCAGGCAGAGGGTGCTAAAGAATAAGAACCAGCAATGTCTAGGAGCCAGTTAAAACTGGCTTACAGAGTCTGATTGGTATTTTATTTATACCTCAGAAATTGCCAAATGCTATGAATCAGTGATTGATTTATTGTTTGTTCAATTATCTAGACTTAAGAAAGTGATACAGAAAATGTTAATAATATATATTAAACTTAAAAGTGTATAGAGCATACTTTTTATACCCAGAGAGATGCTTGCTAAACATTTACCAGCATGCCACTGAAAGAACACTCTGCTCCAAGCAAAGGTAGAGGGAATGAGAGCTTACTTAGATTTCAACCATCCTCTCACCCCCACCATTTTGTAGATTTGGGAATGTTCGGGTGGGGGAAGGAAGGGAGGCAGAAATAAACACCTGTTCAAGGACTTCAAAAATGGGTCTTGGCCCATCCCACCTGTTCCTCCTCCCTACTTTGCACATGACCCCAGGCATTTGCTTCTCTCTCCATTCCTCTTGAGGTCCTAGTTGTAGGTGGAGAGGGCTGGAATCATTCTGAAGTGTCAGGAGGGAAGGTTGGATCTTTTGATTGGCATCTCCAATACCAATGAGATGTCCTTCCTTCTCTATACATAACTGTCAGGAACTGAAGTGCCTGTCCCTCTGGTCCTAGGCCATTCCCTTGCTCTAGAGTCTCCCTTTAGGGAATGGAGAGAGGTCCAATGTCAGTGAGGTGCCAAATAGCTGAGGTCTTACTGAAGCTTGTAGTTAGCAGCATGGCAGGTCTTTGCTTTGCCAACTTCTATGCCCAGGTACCAAATATTTCTTTGGCAGAGGTTTAAAAATGAGGCCTGCCATTACCATTTTCACTTTTGACTCCCAACCATAGTTTGAGTAAGAGGTATTCAGAATGTTGGGGTCCCCATAGGCTTTTAAGAAGAAAGGAAAAAACACATTTATTTATAGGAGGAGGTGGGAGTGGTGGTGGTTCCATCCCTTCCGTCATTCCTCTTCCATGTCTAGACAATTAGCTGGGGGCCTGGTCACTCCTCATCCACTTGGGAAAGAACCTTTCAATGCCAAGGTGGCATCCTTTAAAGTCAGTGGTTCCTGGGACAAAGCCATGCAAATCCTGTCCTGGTTATAGCTTACACTAATGGATATGCTCCTTGAAAGGGACATACAACAAAGAGCTCAGCAGAGGAAAACAAAGAGATATTTGCTTTTTTGGATAGAAGAGCTATCTTCAAAACACATGAGCTACTGGTCTTTCCTACAAATGAACCCTTCTGTCCAGGAATCCTTGCTGAGGAAGGGTTATATACCAACCCCAGAGTCTCATGGCTTTCAAAAGAGTCTAACTTGAGCATAAAAGTTTTCCATTTGCTGAGCCAGTCTCTGATGCATAGGTGGAGATGGCCTCCCAACTGAGACATCACCTCACTGTTTTTTCCCAATAAGATGCCCAACAGTGGAGACTGAATTCTAAACCACTATTGTCAATAAAACCAAAGCTACAACTCAACTACCGTTTACAGCATCCTTGGCATAAGAATTACTTCTTATTATGTATATGGATGTGTATTTTTTTTTAAATTTAGATTGGTTTCCTGTGGAAAGAAGGCCTATGAAATCACTAAGTGTCTCTTTGAATACGCTTGATCTCAAGGGCCAATTTCATTTAAATAGACAGAGGCATTTGGCCGTAGATCATACATGTCCTGCTGCCTCTGTAACCATGAGCCAATTGGCTCAAGAGGTGGAAAAGGTCTTTGAAGGTGGTGGCCTTTTCATTGAGAGAGGCTGATTTGCAGCCTACAGCTCAGCAAACCCATCACATTTGATAATCTCCAACAAGGGCAGCCCTAGGAAAAAAATGTGGAGTAGAATGTAAGAGCATGAAGAGGCTATAGACATTATCTGATCCAAACCCACAAATTTTGCATGTCCTATAACTGAGGTTCTGAGAAGTTAAGAGACTTATTCAAGGTTACACAGTGAATGTCAGAGTTAGGACTACAATCCAGGACACACGATTTCCAGGAGTCCGTCAGTGATAGCATTTTTCCTTTTAGTGCCTTTTTACTTGCCCTCTTCCTGACATTGCCTCTATTTTGATGCTCCTTCCAGGTGTCCAGAACTCTTCTGTTAT